GAACAGTGGGTCAAAATTCCTTCACAACAATGAGAGAGACCGATAAAGTCATACACAAGGTGATTATTCTAGTTATTGCCGCTAAAGGTGGTTCTAAAAGCTTTTGAATCATGGAGTGTTTTCACACACAGCGTCTGCTCTTTGGCTTTGTTTTCGTTAACTGATCACACCGTGCAATATGTCATGTGTTGTTCATCTGACTTAGAATTCATCTAATTTAAAACTTTGTAAGCAGATAATTCAATATCCAGTCCTGACTTTTTACCATCACTGTATCCACTTGTCTAAGTTGTAAAGATCTAAGTTGTTTTTTGTTTTTTCTTGGCTTACTCTATCCACAATATGCTCAATGGGATGAGCAGAGATGCTGATGGTGTCAACATTCTGGACTGGTATTTAATACATAAAAATATTATAATGTTACATATAATATTATCATGTTCATAGCATATATTATTATATTACATTAATTATTATAAATAAATACATACAAACTCAAAATTTATTTTGTGGATTAAATTATCTAAAGGTTCTTCCACTGACAGGAAATTAATGGTCGTCTCCCCCTTCAATAGGAGTTTTACAGTACCTCAGTCAAGTCAAGAAAGCTGCCAGGTAGCAAGACGTTTATCAAGAGTTTTATATCAGAGTTAATTTAGTGGATAGTGTTTTGTTGGCATTCTCCCCAGAATTTCTGTTTTCCCAAATTGAAGAATTTGTAGTCTTGTTAAGCCAAATTGTTATTTGATGATGGTCAAAATAGGTATAGGTAATAGATGGGAAAAGATGACTGTAAATCGTTGGTGACTCATACAAGAATAGAGTAGAATCAGCTGACATTTTCTTGTTAACCTTATATAAACAGAAAGAAAATTTATGGGAAAGGGTGTAGCTTCGCTTTGCATAAGAAGACAGAACATAGACAAAGCAGCAGGGAGCCTCTGATTTTTTTTCTCTGCACTGTCTACCATATTCTGACTATTTTGTGTTTTTTGTGGTTTTAACTTTTTTCAATTGGTTTGACATTTTATAAACTCACAGCAATTTTAAAGTAAGATCAAGTCCAAGTCACATTTTAAGGTGGTCAGTTTAAGTGATTCACAATGGATACGTTCTTGTGGGGGTTTTTAAGTGTGTTACCTCTTCTTTAAAGCTGCTTTAACATCACACCTGAGTTTTCGTCCTAGAATACAAAAGCAGCTATGCAAAACAGTATTTTAAGATACCCTTTACACTATATTACACACACAGACACACACATCATTATCTTTTCTCACTTATCTCTAGTGGTATCTAGCCATGTAGATACTCTTGTATTTGAAATATCTTTCACTGACTTTACTGCCTACATGCAAAAACAATACAGGTTAACCTGTCTGGTGTTCACATTCAAGGCTGTTGCTATAATTGACAATACTTAGGTCATGTCCTAGAATTTTCTTTAAGGAGTATGGTGTTTTTAGTCATCCCAAAGAAATTTATTTTTTTCTTTTAAACCACATTTTGTCTTATCACATGTTATTCCTCTATGTGTGACAGGATAATGTCACTTCAAGTTCTTCAAGGTCTATTTTATCGTATGCAGGAATGCAATTTGACTGTTGATTTTGGAGGAGGTTTCCTGGAGAGAGGTACTGAAGGTAATGTAATTACTTTAAAAAGGGAGATTTCTGAACTCAGCTTTTCTAAAAATAGCAGCTATTGCATAGCCTACACAGACTGTATATAAAAAATGGATGCAGCCACACGGATGTGACCCAATGGTCACCATTTTTGGCATTTTGAAACCAATTGTGACTAATAATGTGGGGTCTGACTGTGAAAATGAGAGACACTGAAGGCTCGTTGGCTAATAATTATGACTCACAAGGAGTTAGCCAAACTGAGTAGTCACAGTCCTGATGTGTTAGCATCATTTTTCAGACCAAGAAAATCCATCTATGTTTTACTAAGACTTTAAAATGTGTTGCAAATTGCAACAAATTTACACCATAAAGTGTGGCCACATTGTGACATTCTTACAATGCTCAAAGCTGAAAAAGCAGTCATCAGTGTTCTAGGAATCTCAGGAAATTTAGGTGTTCAGAAGATAGAACAGACATTTCCTGATTCGACTAAATGGACAAATACGTTGTTTTATAACTTGGACTACTGTTAACACTATTACTGCTTTTGGCAGAAATAACAAGCAAGAAATAAAGCGACTTTTATGGTCCTCTAGTGCTGATCCAGCTATAAGAGGAACAATGATGGAAGGGGAGGATCAGTGGGAAAATGTTTAGCTGCTGGTTGAAAGACTATAGTGTGAGGCGGGTATAGAGAGTGAATGGAGATAGAGACAGAGGATAGAGGGAGGTGCTGGTGGTGGTGGTGGGAGGGTGCAACAAGATGGAGAGAGACTGCCTGCACATACTGTCAAGGCAGTTAATATAAGGTGTGGAGATAAGGCCCCACAGACAAACATTGACCAAATCAGGCATTTCAGCAGCGCAGCCTGAACTGTCAGTCAGCCTGAGAGACAGACCAACAATCAGCACTCTACCTCTGATAAGGGCTCTACTGGGCGCGTGCAGGAAATAGCCAATCTGCAGCCGGCCTGGCAAGGAGGGTGGATGGCGGGGAGTGGGATGATGGAGAGCAAAGGGGTTAGAGGGAGGGAGTGGATGTATAGACAACAAGTGAGGGAAAGTGGCCTATAAATTTCCAGAGAAATGTGGACCGAGAGTTCACGGAAAGTGATAATACCTGAGAGAAAAAGGGGAAAGAAGGAAAGAGGAGAGAAACGGGATATTCCTGCGTACCACACCCAAATCCTTTCAGAGAGAACGCGATTCAGTAGGGAATATAAGTGACTTGGTTAAAAAAGAGAGAGGGAGAAAGAGAGAGAGAGAGGGAGAGACAAGAGGTGTGATATCGACTCTTAAAATAGCATCTCTCCCCAGTTTTTTGTCACCTGGGAACAGCTTGCACAGAGAATGTGAGAACTTGGTTTAGACCAGCACCTTACATTAATGATTTGCCAACAGCTTTGACTAGCTCATTCTTCAACATGCCATTCGCCTTGCCTCGCACACAATAGCATCATTTCATCCTCTCTATTGATTAATGGAGCATATAGTGTGTGCAGGCGCGTGCACGTGTTTGCAGGCCTGAATGTTTTTCAGCGTGCCTGAGTGACGAATAACGCTCCCTATTTAATGAAAGGCTCTGTACAGGCTACGAAATTCCCTCATAACAAAATAAACACATCCAAAATACTGATGCCAATACGGATGCCAATGGAAATCCAAGTCAGTTGGAAGGCCACTCCTCGTATCTTGGATCCACACTGGCCCCTGTAGGTGACATCGAGGCACTGCAGGCTGGCAGCAAGTTTGAAGAAATAAATTCCCAGCTGTTTACCTTTGTCAAACACATTTAGGCTCCTCCAAGCAAAACAGTAAGGAGCCCCAACAGCTGGCGAGTATTTATTTTCAGAAGTGGAGTCAGAGGGGTGTCTGAGCTTCCTTGATCATGAACCAAACTGCCATTACCATGACCACTGATAACAGTAGGAATCGTAAACAAGCTAATCACCGAGGGCCTATTTGTATTCTCGTTTGTGTTTGCACACGCTGATGTGCAGGGGGGAGGGCGCAAAAACTAGAGAACAGGCGAGGGTGGCAGGGGAGAACGGGGAGGGTCTCCGATGGAGGGTGGAGTGCGTGTGAAAGGGTTAAGTTCCCTCCCTGGCTGCATGCTGCTTTCCCTTGCTCTGTCAAGCCCCATTAAACCTGCTACACCACAGCAATATGGTGCCATCAATTACAGGCACGCTGCCATCAATGCAGAGCGCAGAGGAGAGGAGAGGCAGGAGCACATAAACAGGACAAACGGCCACATAAAAGACATAAAGCCCTGCAGCCTGCCTCTCTCAAACACACACAAACACTCTCTCTCTGCACCTTTTACCTTTTTGAGGTGTCATTCTGTTTCTGAATGAGTCTGGGTTTGTTTCAAATACAGATGGGAAAGAAAAAAAAAACTGCACAGTGCACGCATTCCTGACTCTTTCATGATACTGAGGCAAATTTATGAAAAAAGGCTAAAAACTATGTGAAGATTTAGGCTCACTGTGTTAACTGCAGTGTGCTTCTACTGCCCCCGTGTGACAGATGAAAATCCAGTCACCAGTACAGAGCCAAAATAAAAGTCCAAACTTTTAAAAGCGCATATTAACTTTACAGCACTCCACGCTCATCATCTTCTCATCATCAAAACACCGAAAGATCCAAAAGCAGTGAGAAATCTTCAAAGTGACACAAATCTGCATTTCATCTCTTTTGCATGTCTCAAATTCTTTGCTGCATTTCTCTGTCGGTGACAGACAAAGAACCATTTGTCTGAGATGGAAAGCCATTTTTACTGACCAGCGAAGAGAAAAAGAGCCACTCTTTACTTTTGGGTGCCATATTGTCTTCAGTACAACAGGTCAGTGAAAGACACTGACAATGTCACAAAGCAACTGAAAATCAAACACTGGGAAAATCGTGAAGATGCAATGTTGCTGTGCACCACATACTGCTACTGCTGAGAGGCATACCTCTGCACTCACTTTAAACACCTTTAACATGTCTCTGAGAATGAAATCTGCTGAATTTGAATCAGGTATCTTTTTTTTTTTAAATTACATCAAATGCAAGCGACTATTCCAGTACATATTTTTTGCATGCTGTAAAAATGTGGAATTGGTGTATGTTGCCGCAGAGTAAAAGACACAAATCTGATAAGTAAATTGTTAGATTTTTTTTTTAAAGATGTGATATAAAAAAAACAAATGTTCGCGATGAATAGACATTTCTCAGTAGAAAATATTCAAATTAAAACATTTATTTTTGTCTTCTTTTGTGTCTCACTCATTTGATAGCAACTGGGCAAAAAGCTTTACCCACCAAAATCTGACAGAGTAATAAGGAGACACACCGCACACCCATTTTGAAATAGTTAGAACCTTAAAGAACTGGATTAGGCAATTTTTATTTATTTTTTTTACATTTTTTTACATCAATGACACTTGATTAAGCAGACACTCCCTCATAACATATCTTACAGTTAATTGTCAGTGTCTGAACCACATAAAAAGATTAACACTGATTATTTACACCAACCATTCACCTTTTAAAAGGAGGAAAATGATACCAGAACACCTATATTTATTTGTAATCTAGGTAAACCAGTCCTTTAAGATGTAAAACAGAGAAACGTACACATATGTTAAATGTAAAGAAACCTACATATTTACAAATGGCCTCCAACTGCCAGAGTTTTAGGTCGAGTTTATCTGTGAGGAAGAACTACTGCTGCCGGAGCTCTTGGTTTTCTGCCCTCTAGTGGCACTGGGCTGCCGCTGCACTCTCTGACTGGAAGCCTCCCTGCTCTTCTCACTGTGGCTGGTACCAGCTTTACTGCGTACTCCTGAAACGAAGCAAAAAAGTAAATGCACTCAGGGAAAGGAGGAAATAAATGTTTAGGTGACTGTTATAGGACTGCTTCGCATATACCATGCAATATGGCATTTTAGAAAAATAAAAATGGAAATGATAATGACGGGGAATGAGAAAGTGCAGCTGATAAAACAGCTCGTTTTCTTATATACTTGACAGTATGTCACAACAGCACTGCGCATTAACTATGAAGTGGCGAGAAAGTGCCCTCAGAAATTATGAACTGCAAATATAGCATGTGTCAAGAGACCTGACTATTTTACTGGTGAAGGAAGAAAAGAAGTTTTTTTTTATTATTATTATTCAGCACAACTGAAGAATAGACAACCCGAACTCTCTTTAACTGTTTAATTAAGTAGTCTTCAAGAACATTTCTCTAGGCTTCTGAAGAACATTTGTTTTCTTCTCTGTCAAGATGATTCAATACCACTTCAATAACGGTGAGGTCAGAGTTTTAGGGAGGCCAATCCATGACCGATTTGTGTTCTAGTTTGTGTTTTTCTATCCAGGTATGCTTGTGTGCATTGGCAGTATGTCTGGGCTCACTGCCATGTGGTAAAAATAAACCTGTTGCCAGCTAGATTTCTTTCTTTCTTTTAGCTTTCCAGATGGGACTGTATGGTGGATCAAAAACTGACGGTACTTTCTATGTTCTCAATTCAAGAGAATATTTTGACAAGATTATTTAAAGTTTCACATTTGATTCATCACTCTATAAGACCTGATGCCACTGATTTTCAGTCTAGGTCTTTTGAAATATGGCATACCTCTGCATTTTCTCTATGTTATGTTCCCTTCCTTAAGAATGGCTTCTTGATGGCCACCCGTTCCACTGAGCATATTTTAAATGAGGCTTCAGCAAAGAGCAGATGGATCAGCTGAAGGGCCAGATCCACCTCTCAGGTCCTGTGTCAGTTCTTTCTGGAACTTTTTCCCTATGTTTTAAACACATGACTGTCGGATACTGTCCATATACCGCAGACAGTTTTCTGATGTTAACTTTGGCATTTTTTTAAAGATCCAGACAAAGAATTGTTTTCTTGAATATTTTACAGGTCAGTTTCAACTGGCTTAACGAAAAAAAAAAGTCACACCTCTAAAAATGATCAAGTACAAGGATTGGACTGAAAAGGAGTGAAAAAGTAGTCAAAGAAAAACTCTGAAGGGCCTTTAGAAAGCCTGGAGCAATATTTCTTAAGACCACTTTAAAAATACTGGAAATTACCAGTACTACCCCTCAGATTCCTAGAAGACATGCCTACGGAATCAATTTCAAAACCCTGTCATTATATTCTTGAAAAACCTTTAGGTCAAGGTTAGTGAGATTAAAACTCACCCGAGATTTTTAGTAGATACACCTATGGTATCAATTTGAAGGTGCTATGTCGCTTCGTTCTCAAGTTATTGCATTCACAAACTTAAGTGTCCACACTGCCCTTCATCCACCGAGCTGGGTGGGAGGGCAGCAATATCCCATGAGCCTTAGCAAAAATAATAATACAGGAAAAAAATATATATATATTGTTCCAGCTGATAGTGATATTGTTTTTGTTTTACAAAAAAGTATTTCTATAGCATTTATACTCTCCATTTGTACTATAATCACAGATTTTAGCATTCTTTTGTATTTTGAAAGTGCTTCAAGTTAAAGTTCTGTATTTTAATTATATATATATATATATATATATATAACTGATGTAACCATTTAGAAATACAAAATCAAGCCATTGGGGTTGCTTAGGGTTAAGATTCTTAGCAAGTCAAATGTTTAATCTGTTATTTAAAAAGTCATAAAAAGCTTGGTGCTCGCACACTTTTCTCTGCTTTATTTGTCAAGTTTAAGTTTGTGACCATTTATACTGAAGAAGACTTCTTCAGTAAGTGAAATCCTGAAAATAGAACTCAGTAAGTGCATATTGTATGAACCAAGTCAAGATCCTCTTTTCTTGTTCCGTCACAGGTTAACCATCAAACAGCAACATAAAAGACTTTTTTTAAACTTGTAAATTCAAGTTACTCTCGTGTAAAAGAATCAATAAAAAGAGTACTTCAGAGGGTTTTGTTTTTTTTAAACTTTCTAGCCACTTAAAAACAAAGGGAAAAAAAATCCACTGCACGGTGAATAAATCTCCTTGAGTATGAAAACATCCAAGGGCAAATTCAATTTTTGTGGTCCACACACAATTGCATGCATGCACATATAAAGAAAGCACAGCATGCAGTTTTTTTCCCAAAATCCTGCTCCATATCAAATGGCACATAAATACAACTTTTGTTAATGAGAAAGGCAAGCAAGTGGGCAGATGGAGGTGAAGGACAGAGTGCAGCAAAAGGGACCTTGAGAGTGAGGAGAACTAGTGTCTTGGGGGCCGTAGACCACAATCTTAGTGTTGACCCTTGTGGCTCTGGGGCCTGCTGCTGTGGGGGGAGCTGCGGCAGGTTTAGGGCTCTTTCCAGAGGCCAAAGAGTCCTCTTCTTCAGGAAACAAGACACACAGAAAAAAAGACAGAAAAGAAAGAACCGACCGGGATAGAGAGGAAATCAGAAAAACCTGCAACACAGTGAGGATGAGCGATTTGTAGATGAGTTTGCATGACTATGCCTGTCTTCAGATGCCCTCCTTTTATGTGGAAAACTGTGCTGTGTGGGGTGAAGTGAAGATTGGATTTAGTTAGTGAGGTGGGGTAAGGGAAGAGTGCAGCACAGAACCTCTGCTACAGCACGTACAGAACTTAAATGGAGGAATGTGATTATTTCACACACTTAAAAAGCAAAGAGAGGAGCAAAGAAAGAATATAACATAAATTAAAATTAATAAAATAAAAACTTTAACATTCTGAGTCTTTGCATCAAAAATCATATCTGTAGCCACACACACGCTTGTTGTTATCAGAAATTACTGTTACCAACAACTGGGCTTGTTTGCATTGGAAAGTAGGTTGGTCTCAGGACCCCCTCTGACCAGTCCTCTTCCCTAATGTTCTATTCTTGGACCTTTGATGTTCTCCATTCCCACCAGATCATACACCAATCAAGCATAACATTATCACCAACTGCCTAATATTGTGTTGGTCCACATGGACTCCACTAGACGCCCTAGAGGTGTGCATTGGTATCTGGGACCAAGAGGTTAGCAACAGATCCTTGAAGTCCTTTAAGATGTGAGGTGGGGACTCCATGGATCGACTTCTTTGTCCAGCATATCTCACAGATGTTCGATTAGACTGAGATTTGGGAATTTTGATAGTTTATACAACAATAGTTTATATATCGATTTTAAAAAAAAAAACGACATACATAATTTATGCTAATATAATAATGATTTGTGGCATAACTATGCTACACTTTACAGAAGACAGTGATGAGTTCTTTCTCCTTCTAGCCTTGGCTTTCATTAAAGTAGCAGGGTTTTATATTGCCAAAAATGTGAACCCACACAGCAAAACACATCCTGAACTTTTCTGACTTTCAGAGTGTTAAACTGTAGGTGACAAATGACAGCCCTCTTTTCCTAAGTCAATTGTGACCTAGGGGGTGATATCTGAATCTTAACTAGTGTTTGTGGCTGCTGCATCCTGGACTGACCAATGGTGGGTTAGGAGGACCCAACAGAGGGGGAAAACAGGAACGGACTACAATAAGGCAGTGTAAATGGGGAGACTAAAACTTCCCAGCCTGATTTCTGCAATGTTTCTTAGTTAAAAGAAGGTAGACTATTTGAGCTGAAAGATAGTCAACATTTAAATGACAAATATACATATACTTTCAGTTGCATTACATCCATTCTTCAGATACTAACCTCTGGCTTCTGTGTGCGCTGTGGTCATGCTTGTGGTGTGGGCGCCAGCTGAAGGGTCTCCACCACAGCTTTCAGCTACCCTCTGTCCTGCACACATTGCCTTCAAGGTCTGGAAGACTGCTTGAGGAGCCACATTCATCTTCAGCAAGTCCACTATGATTCTGTGAGGAGGAGGAGGAGGAGGAAGGGGGTGAGGACATAAAACCATAGTCCTCCATGTAACCCACAGATAAGGTTATTATTAAACATACTTAAAAACCTCCTGATCCACAGTGATTCCTGCAGCCTGAGTAAGTTCGAACAGCTCAATTTCTTCGGCGCTAAGGACTTTCTTCTTCTTTATTGCATATTTCTGCACGTTAGATGTGACAACCAGCGCAGGGGAGTCAGGGGCGGAAGGAATCGTTTGTTGTGCTTGTTGAGACATCACTAATGAACTGAGGGGTTAGATTAAATAAGAAAGTAAAATAAGGTGCAATGACCAAAAGAAAATACAGCGTAAAGAATGAGAAACACGGCGTAAGTGAACCTCCTCTCCGAATCAAAAATATCAACATTTATCAAAAATATAACCACAATGAGACTTAAATGATTAACACAGCAAACGCCTGATTCCGTAAAATTAAAATTATACCTACCATTACGAGCGGAATGCTCAACGTTTAGTTGCTTCTGTTTGAGCCAAGCGTGACGCGCCAAAAATACGTCATTGTCATGCGTTCCATACGTAATCCACTCAAAAAATAAAATAAAATAAATAAGTATGTTTTTAAAAGTTACATTATTCAGTTGTCCGCCACGTCTTCATTTAAGATTTTAAATCCGTGTTTTACAACCCCATATTAATTTTAAAAACTCTTTCCAAGAGAAAATCTTGCCGCTACTGAGCTATTTTCAAACGCCCCTGGTTATTTTTTGGGGGCAGGGTATTTTTTCGTAAATTGAACATAAATGACTGGAAATATATAGGCACGGTAGCCTATACTAGTAGAGATGCTGAAAGAGCGAAAAAGAACAAAACCGGAAGTGCTTCTGGGGATTGTCCTCTCAAACCTGCTCGGGTCTCTGCGCCGTCGTCCAAGAATGGCCGCTGCTGCAGCAGGAATAAACAAGCAGGGCGCCGTAGCGACGATGGAGCCCTGTATCCGACACGGGAGAGGAGCTAATGGGAGCACGGTTAAGGTTGTAATGTTGTCACTACAATCTTAGATCCAACTACATGTCGATCGGTGGTGTTTGGCTATTTTGTTATGTTGAGCGAATGACCGACATCAGGCTTGCCTCTGACGCTTTTGATTTTGGGCGAACGCTGCTGCGTTGGCGTCGTTGGCAGGAGGATGTCAGAGCTTTATTTTATAGATCGGACCAGAGTCATGTGTAAACACTGTTTCACAAGACGATCATTTTTTAGCGCTGCATTATAAACTTAGACTGGTGCACGTTGACATGGCTGGTATTTGTGCCTGCATCATGCTAGCAGATGAGCTGGCTGGTCTTCCGTCGGTAGTTGGCGTCAGTGCTAGCTGTGGTTCACTGCTGCAGCTCCTCTGTGAGGTGTGATCGTGTCAGAAGATGCTTTTCGTACTGCTTTCAATGTATTCACTTAAAGATCACTGAAAGTAGAAATCAGAAGTGTTATCCAGCTGTAACGCTACAGGTCAAGATGACTGCATCCGACTAGTTATTGTTCTGTCTGAGACCTTATAAAGCATCTCTCTGCAGTAACCCAGAAGCATCTGTACCCTCCTGTGATCGGGTGCTTTAATACTGGTATTGGTTTATTTGCAGGTGCTGGAATGTGGTGTTTGTGAGGATGTCTTCTCTCTCCAGGGGGACAAGGTCCCTCGTCTTCTGCTCTGCGGCCACACGGTGTGCCATGACTGTCTAACCCGGTTGCCCCTCCATGGCAGAGCGGTCCGCTGCCCCTTTGACAGGCAGGTCACTGAGCTGGGTGAGTGATGTCATCACGCTTTCCAGCATCGTATATATAGCGGACACATATGTGTAATACCTGCTATATAAATCGTGAAGTGAAATTTAGTGGCTGAATCCTGAGACTGATCGTTCTTCTAAAAACAAGAGCATAAAAAGAGCTATCAAAACCAACTTAAGAAACTTAGAACAACATCCTGTGATCTGCACATTTCTCTTTATTTGACTTCATGCAAGCCCCATTAAAAAAGAGACTTTTACCCAGAAGTTGTGAAAAATTGAAGTTGCCTGTATTACAGAAAACATTATTCTTGCTGCAGAAATCCATGATCCAGTTGAGGCTAAGGGTGTTTTTGAGGGCATGGAGCTCTACAGTGCTGGCATTATTTGCCTTTCAAAGTGAGTTTGCTTTCTTCACATTTGCTTAGGGGACTCTGGAGTTTGGGGTCTAAAGAAAAACTTTGCTCTGCTTGAACTCTTGGAGAGACTCCAGAATGGAGCGACTAACCAGTCAGGAATGGCAGAGGACGCCTTGAAAGGCATGGGAGAAGTAAGGCAGCTATGATTTTACTGATAAGAGATGTGTCACCTTCACACCTTCTGCATACTTTATCCTCAATCCATCTTTTTATAAACTAGTGTATAATTCGCTGCGACGAGGATGAGAGCCACACAGCCTCCATGTACTGTACCGTGTGTGCCACCCACCTGTGTGGCGAGTGCTCTCAGCTCACCCACTCCACTCGCACACTGGCCAAACACCGGCGGGTGCCACTGGCCGATAAGCCCCACGAGAAGACCTTGTGCCCACAGCATCAGGTCCATGCCATCGAGTTTGTCTGCCTGGAGGAAGCTTGTCAGTCCGGGCCCCTCATGTGCTGTGTATGTAAGGAGTACGGCAAGCACCAGGGCCATAAGGTAGGTGGAAAACTTGTTCCCATATTAGATATAGTCACTGAAAAATATATGGTTATATATTGCCCTATTTTCCCTAACAGCATGCTGTTCTTGAGACTGAAGCCAATCAGATTCGTGCATCCATTCTGGACATGGCCCACTGTATCCGAACCTTCACAGAGGAGGTGTCCGAGTACTCGAGGAAGTTGGTGGGCATCGTGCAGCAGATAGAAGGTGGCGAGCAGATAGTTGAGGATGGAGTAGGCATGGCACACACTGAACATGTAAGACAAAGGGCTTCTTAATAAAACACGAATGATCATGCTTCTGTTTTGGCTCTTAGATCTTTCCCATGTGTGCTTCAGGTCCCCGGCACAGCAGAGAGCGCCCGCTCCTGCGTCCGAGCTTACTTTGCAGATCTGCACGAGACCCTGTGTCGGCAGGAGGAGATGGCGCTGAGCGTGGTGGACGCCCATGTGAGGGAGAGGCTCATCTGGCTGAGGCAGCAGCAGGAGGATATGACCATCCTGCTGTCTCAGGTGTCCACCGCCTGCCTGCACTGTGAGAAAACACTTCAGCAGGTAGGAGATGTGAGGAGTACTGGTGAGTTCAGGAACTTGTTTCTTTCTTTTCCTCACCCCAATTAAGATCAAAGCTGTGGTGATTTTGGGGAAATGCTTGCGTAATGCTGTTAAAGGTGTGATGTGCATTGCTTCTTTTGTCTTTTAGGACGACTGCAGAGTTGTTCTGGCAAAGCAGGAGATCAACTGTTTGCTGGAGACGCTTCAGAAGCAGCAACACCAGTTCACTGAGCTGGCAGATCACATTCAGCTGGATGCCGGCATCCCAGTCACCTTCACTAAGGTACATGCTGTCGCTGCTCATAGAAATTTGCTTCTGTAAACCAAATGTGTCGCAAAAAATGGAAAGGCCTTGGGTTTTCCTATAAATGTAGTAATGACATTGAAAATGTCTTTTCAGGACAACAGGGTCCACATTGGTCCAAAGATGGAGATCCGCGTAGTGACTCTGGGGCTCGATGGCGCTGGAAAAACCACCATCCTATTCAAGCTGAAACAAGACGAGTTCATGCAGCCCATCCCAACCATTGGTAAATGCACTTGTAGTTTAATGGTTCACAGAGTCACTTTAGAGTCAGGATAATACAAGTCTTTCTTTTTTTATATATATATTATCCTATATAAAGCTTGCTTTTGATCTTTGTTCAAGGTTTCAATGTGGAGACGGTTGAATATAAGAACCTAAAATTCACCATCTGGGATGTGGGTGGGAAGCACAAGCTCAGACCCCTCTGGAAACACTATTATCTAAACACTCAAGGTATGTTTTGTGCTTTCTGTGCTTTGGATATTTATAGCATGTTCTTGGATTTAACTAGTACGTTTGTGTGACTTGGACCACTGACAGGTGAAGTGAATAACTTGGAGCATCTAGTTAAATGCACAGTTTTGCTGGGAAATCTTGGCTTTGTGTGTATTTCACTTTGACGCTCACAGACGGTATATAAAAGACAAATGTAGTCACGGTGCCCATTGGGTCCAGTTTTAAGGCCTTTGCTTCTAGTATTTTGGCCAGAAGTAACCATATTTGGACAAGGACATGGTCTGTTAGTGGAGTTAACTGCACAGGAGTTCATATTAAGTATTCAGTAATTGTATTAAAAATACTATAAAACACGTGAGGTTTTCTGACTGAAATTAGCAGAAGTGAGGTCCAGCAGAGAGCTGATTGCAGGTGGTGTGGATTCCCAAGTTTGTGAGGTGATGTAGGATTTTTAAAGTCATTTAATACTGTATTTGCATCTGCTGAAACCCTCTGGGAGTTTTAATCGTGGTGACACTGACTTTAATAGCAAGGTCAGTGGTCAACTTTCAGAAAATAGCATATGATTTTCAAACATCCATTTATCCATCTGCTAGGTGTCTAAAGGTTTAGCACTGGTGACCACCAGTATTTTTTGAATGAAGCTCTGGAGATAGTGGATATACTTGACAAAAGATGTTGAAGATGGAGCTGTCAGCAGGGCGTAAATAGGAAGTTCACAGAGAACACTCAAAGATGTAGTGAAAGATGACAGGGTTAAAGTGACAGAGGAGGATGCTAGGGTAGGGTGACATGGCAGATGATCCGCTGTGGCGACCCCTAAAGGGAGTAGCCAATAGGAGTTCTCTACAGATTGACTCAATTTCATAGGCAGGCTCAAGGGTGTGGTGCCAGTGAGAGGTCAAATGCACTGTGATGTAAGGAAACACCAGCAAATGGAAAAAGAACTGTCCAAAAACACACAACCGAAATTAAAATAACAACAACAAAATATTTTTACGGCGACAATAATGTGACTGAACAGCTGCAGAAGTGACAGAAACCAAAACATGTGTAGGGTTGAAACGAAACACATGTAAAAGAAGGGGAAGATTCATCAGTGATTTGAGGGAGAAAATGTTGCATTGTAGTGTGTGTTACAATCACATAGTTCACATAATACTCTCGATACATGTTTGCTATTAGCCGTTTGCTGTCACTTTCGCAGCAGTTCCACCACATTACCGTCTCCCCAAAAACATTTCAGTTTAGTTTTGTGATTTAAAGAAAAAAGTTAATTCTTTTATTGATTGATTTTTGGTGTGAGCTTTGCACAATTTGTTTCTATTTCCATTGTGTCTTATTGAAATTATGTTTTGTGAGCTTTTGTAGTGTTTTTCTCGTTGCTTGTGTTTTGTAAGTTCCAGTTTGTTTGACCTCTTAGGACCAACGTACAAGTGGCTATTTGAGTTACTTCAGTTTTTTGAAGCTCTGAGTTTGCTTCATTTTTCAGCCCTATAAACTGCTGCTTTGTGACAGCTTCCTAAACAT